TTCGCTTAGCAATGATCTACCATGGCTAGCGAATCTTTGCTTAGCTGGAGCATTAGTTATTTTTAGTATCCGTACGTTGCTACCTGATTATTCGATGACATCCTATGTCTGATATCGTGTTTACTCCTTGACTACAGAATAAAGCTACCAGTCGAGTTTACACCGTTCGGGTCTCTGACAATTCTTGCATCACGATTGGCTCAATATTTTGATATCTTGCACCACATATTTTGAGGTTTAGAGCATTTTAAATTTTACCTTGATTTTGTTGTACTCTAAAGACGGATGATTTTTGATATTTCCTATTTTTCTCTCAGTTCGTTCTGTTTTAGACGGAAAATATGGAAAATATCGGCACCTTGATGTTGAAAACAGTGGCCCCGTAACAATCGTTTTGGACTCGAAAACGCGGGATGCCGACGCTAGTGAATAATCCAGTGCTTTATTATAATAATGATTCAGTAAAATTTTTCACCTTATTTTTCGTATTTACCTCGGCTCCGAAGAATTGTTGTTCAGACATCTGTGTTTATCAATCCCTCAAATATTGCCATGTTTTAGTTTGCCTTGTTTGATTATCGATTAAGACCTGAGCCGAATGAGTTCGTGCTGAATCAATGCATACGCTGCAGCACTGTTTTATATGTTCAGAAAATTGCTACTCCGCTTAATGCGTTTATTTTTGATTAGTGCATTTTGCAATAGTTTTTGGGATTTTTATGCACTTTATAAGTTTGCGAGCAAATGTGTATCTAACAACAGTTCTGATGTCTAATACTTCTTATTTAATGATGGGTGAGGTTATTCATCACATCGGTATTCAACTCTATTGATTAATACTGTTTGGTCATAGCTGTTCCTGAACAAGAAGAGTTGTTGTTTGTTGTAATCTCCACATTGAACTGCTTGCGTTTGCATAACGTCGGTGGACCGATTCGTTATATCTCAGCATCCTTAGCATCTCAACAGTTTGCTATCAGGCATTGATTACCGCATCGTAGAAGCAACAGTTTCTCTCCAAACGTAGGTCCGTTTGTATCTTTACCTTTCATGTTACCTGCTGGTCTTCTGATCAATGCCTGCTATGTCTCGGTTGCCACAGAAGCTTGCACAGTAGAATGACGGCTTGTTGCTTCATCCATTTATCAAGAAATATGAACCTCATTTTTCTGATCTATACATCTACTGAGGTACTTATACTCAGAAGAGAACAAAGTCATTCCTTACCTGGTTCGGCAGGTGAATTCTTGCTATGCTTCGCAGGCAGCTCTGTTGCACTGTTCAATCTTCCTGTTTCTTTTTTTGTTAGAATAACGACCTCCATATATGTATAACACCGTACTGAGGCGGGGTACAGGTATATTTGTGAAAAAGAGCGAAAGCTATCAAAAACGCAAGGCAATAGCGCGTTGTTTATTTCCGACTAGATGGTGGTGCCGAGATACTTGAATTCGTCAATATCATCGACATTTTCGCCTCCCTGTTCTTCATGCGGATCTACTTTGCCGGGTGGGTTTCTCAACGTTTTACGTCTAGGAGTTAAGGACTAGACCGGCTTTCGCATCTGTGTTAGATACGGAAGCTGTCATGTGAAGAAGCTCGTTTCCCGTACTACTCACCAGAACAATATCCATCTGCGTACTCCAGATTAACAATATATCTGGCGGGATATCTTGATTTGTGCCTGCCGTATAGAATGAGAGTGTGGTATTTGCAGGGTCAGTGTTTGGAGGAGAAAGTCTACAACAATGCTGAAGAGCAAAAACGAGTGTGTTTTATGAACTTCACATTAATATGCATTATAATCTAGTTAATTAGCTCTCCTTTGACTTTAATAGGTGATGTGGTAACGGGTTGATGTAAGGCAGGGAAGAGTTTCCCTTCCAGTCATGGCTAAAGATGTCCTAGTGAATTCATGGCATGAGAGATCCACTCAAAAGTGCTTGCTCTAGAAACAACTGGGCACTGGTGACCACAATTTTTATTTACTGCAAAATACTGTTGTTGCTGAAAAGCACTAGAACCATTTTCTCCACTGTTCTTTTCTTGCGAATCGGAACCACATCAGTGTCATGCACATTTTAGATCAAAGTTATTTTTGAGGATAGTATGTCTACGATGGACGATTATAATGGTATGATATCTAATAAAATGGTATACCTGACTTCATCTTTCAAGCGATGTTATTTTGAATGATTTCAACAACGATTTGAAATCTTTTATTCAAGTTATATTATGCTCGCGGGTAATGGGCAAGTCCTCAAGATTGTCCATTTAAATGTATTGTAATTTAAGGAATCAACGGGTCATAGGGCGCTGAACATGCGAATTGTTGTTCAACGTGTACACGGCGCTTTCGTCAAAGGTATTTTAGTTAATCCACGTTCATCATATTTTTTCCTTTGTTTCTTTGCAGTTGGGGAGGAGATCATCAGCAGAATCGGTCGTGGCCTTTGTGTACTTGTTGGTATATTCCGCGATGATACAGAAGAAGACCTAAATCGCATGTAAGATTTATTGACGAATTGAAGCATTTATATTAATACTTTTCTGAAGAATGAAGAAATAGTGGCATAATTGGACAGTGCATTGTAGTTTAAGGTACTGTTTCTGCTACTGTGAAATTCGAGATTATTCATGTAATGCACGTTCTCAAACAGTATAGATTCATGGCCTCGTTAAATGGCCCCCTGTGCCCGTAGAAACATGGGAAAGTGAAATAGTTAATAACGTAATGTAGCTCACATTGGTAGTCTTGTCTTTATTATTTTGGTCTTTAAATCTGTTTTTAAATTAAATTTTGCATAATTTTGATCACTTCGACTGGCTGATAATCGGCAAGGAATCGCACCGGCTGCAACACACCCACTATTCCTCGCTATTTTGAGTCGTTTTTTCTGTCCAGGTGTGGCGTTTCCCTCTCCTTATATTATTTCCCCACCGTCCTGTTGTATGACCAAGCGGTCTAATCGCTCGCGACGATTATCACTGACCATCACTCGTCTGTGCGTCGCGCTACGTGCCTCTTCCACCGTAGCTTCGCCGTTCTGCTTTTGACGACAACGTCTTTTACTCGTGTCCGTTGTCTGATCACCGTCGCAACGTAAGATT